TGCCAGGGACACAGGAGGCAGAAGACATGCAACGTGGCATGGAACCAGGAATCTGTGTCAGTCAGCCTGTGCCAGGCTGTGCTACAGCAACAAGCAGCCCCAAAACCTCAGAAGTTCAGAACCTGTTTATTCCTCATTCAGGCACATGTGGGCTTGGTGATGGCTTTGGCCCAAGTGCTAGAGCAACAATCTCCCTCTGAGATGAGCCATTTTCTTGGCAAAGAGGGTGTTGTGTCCCCCTAAAGCTCACATGTGAGACACAACAAGAGGGTTCAGGGGTGAATGAATGGGGTTAGGAAAGCCTTGATCTGACCCAAGCATTGATCCCCCAACAGGGACTAACTGGGTGGTGACTGCAGGTAGGTGGGTGTGGCCGGGGGAGGTGGGTGCTGGGGTGACCCTCTGGGCTTGTCCTTGGTGAGTGGAGCCCTCTCTGCTTGCTGGAGCCCTGTCCTGAGCTGCTGTCCTCCTCCACTCCCAGCCCACTGTGAAGTCCTGCCTCACTAGGCCCCAGAGCAGCAAATTCGGCCTTCTGTGGACTGAGCCCTGAAACCGAGAGCTCCAAATACACTTGTCCTCGACTGCTCTCGTCACTTGTCGCTCCCCACCCTGGGCTGACTCATGGCTCAGGACCTCCCCTCAGGAGAGAGGAGCTGGCGGAGCCATCGGACCGTTATGTGACCTGTTGTGTGACAAACACCTCCGGTGTTTGTGTGATTCAATGACCCCGTGTTTTCTAAGCTCCGCGCCCGTCACACACTGCTCCTGTCACTGCCACCATTACCTTGCTGCAGATGTTGGTGGGCCTCTGACACCTCCCACCAACATCTTAGGGGGGGGGGGTTCTCCTGGAGTCACCTGCCCTCCCTGCTGGGTCTGTGTGTCTCCCTCTCCCCTGCTGTGACCAGGGCTAGGCCTTCCTGTTCTCACCCCTGCCCTCTCCTGGGCCTTCAATTAGTCATAGTTCTGTCCTCCGTAGGCCTGTCGGACCTTCTCCTGGGGAGTCCAGAAGGGCTGTGAGCCTGCATATCTACAGTGCACTCGAGCTCCTGGACACAGGGAGAATGGCAGCACCGTCCACCCTGTCCCGAGGCCAGCCTGCGTGGCTGGTGCTGTACCAATACCAAGCCCATCAGCCACAGCTCTCCAGGTCCGTGAATGTCCTTGGCAACTCGTCTCTCAGCCTCTGGCCTCTGCATCTGATGAACAAGCAAACCAGGCTGCTCGCAAGGCCTGGCCAGCCATCACCTTCCTGCTCTCCTCCCTGCTCCAGGCTCCCACCTGGCCCTTTCCCACCTACCATTCTTCTCTCAGGCCTGGAGGCCCAGAGCCCTGGCAGGTGCGCTCTCCTGGGGACCACCTTCCTGTGGTTCTGGCCACAGGTCACAGTCACATGTTGGACATCCACGCCTCTGATGAGTGTATTTGCCAAGGAATCCCCAGTGATGACCAGAGCCACGTCGGCATTCCAGACGCCTCCTGAATGTCACCCGCACAGCGAGGCGTCACACTATGCCACTCTTTTGAGATAATCGATGCCCTTCCCAGTGGACATTCAGGTTTCTGAGGGTTTTTGGGTTTTTTTGCTATTATAAGATGCTTAAATAAGTACTTGTAAATATGATTTTCCCCTTTAAATCCTTTAATCCAAGGTTAAAGATAGAGGTTCTTGGTATGAATTGCCAAAGTGCTTTTGAAATACTGTTACATAATCTTTATGATGATGTAAAAAACCTTACAATTTGATGGGAGAATATTGTCTTCATTTTCATTTCCTTGGTGAAAATGAAGTTTTTCTACCTTATAGCCCTCTATCTGTTCCACATCCTTTGTTCCTTTAACCAGTTTTTTAAAAATATTTACTTTTTAGTTGTAGGTGGACACATACCTTTATTTTATTTATTTTCATGGGGTGCTGAGGCTCGACCCCAGGGCCCTGCACATGCTAGGTGAGCGCTCACAACCAGTCCCTTATCTAGTTGAGTTTTTAGCATTTTTTAACTAAACCACATGATCTTTTCAAGTAAGGTCAGTCCTTTGCACCCCAGGCAGCAGTCCCCCGGGTTTGCCTTTGTGTTCCCGTGTGTTGGACGCTCCAGGAAGACTCTCTGACCGTTCCTTTACTGGCTGGTTCTTACGTTGCTTCTGGACCCACTCTAGAAGAGTGGTCTCTAGGCTAGGGCATCATGTCAGCCGGGGCCTGTGAGAGGTAGCCTGTTCCAGAAGGCCTCCTGGCAGGGCCTCTGCCCAGCAGGGCAGCTGGGAACTGGGCAGTCTTGCTCGAGAGCCGGAGCTGTCCTTGCGGGACCCTCCTGGTGCACGGCAGGAAGGACTGGACTCCTTTATTGTGCTTCCTTTGAGTCCTGTGAGCAGGGAGGCTGGCCTCCGTGCACCTCACTTTTTAAAACCCAGCTTTATGGAGACGCATTTCACATACCATAAAATCCACTCATCTGAAGTGGGCGGCTCAGCGGTTTGTCCCATGTCCCTGCTGAGCCAGCACCGCTGTCCTAAGAGTCGGGTTCCATTTCAGTGACCTGCCTCTAAGCCCTGGGTGCCCCTGGCTCATGTCGCCGCTCTGCTGGCGGTTCCAGAATGCTGCCTCTGGCTTCCACGACCTCTGTTTCACTTGTGTCCACTGCTGATGCCCCTCTGGGAGAGGCTGCCCTTCAGGTGGACATCACACGTGTTGGATGTCCAGCACTGACCACACACACCATCCATCCCCAGGCAGTGCCACAGCCACATCAGCTGCGGCTCCCCACCCATCTTCAAGGACCCCCCAGGGGGCTGTGGCTTCCTCTCTGACCTGTACATCTGGGGATTCTTGCATTTTCTTGTCATTTCTAATTGCAGCCCACTGTTTGCAGAACAGATTGTGTGTGATTTCAATCCCCTTTTAATCCATGGGCACTAATATTGGTGGAAAACTCGATCTTTGCCAGAGTGGCCCAGGTGCACTTGATAAGGACCTGTCGTCCACACCTCCTTGTTCCAGCCCCTGGCCATCACTGTGAACTGGCCTCCTCCACAGGTCTGCAAGTTTTTTGGGGGGGAGAGTGGATCCCAGGGGTGCTCTACCACTGAGCCACATCCTCAGCCCCTTTATTTATTTACTTTTTTTTTTTTAACCTTTGGTAATAGGGATTGAACCCAAGGGCACTTAACCACTGAGCCACCTCCCCAGACCTTTTTTATTTTTTATTTTGAGACAGGGTCTCACACTAAGTTGCTTAGGGCATTAGCTAAGTTGCTGAGGCTAGCCTTGATCTTGTGATCCTCCTGCCTCAGCCTCCTGTGTGCCATGGTGCCCAATTTTATAAGTCTGAAAATCAACCAATCCTTCACACACACACACACACACACACACACACACACACACATATCTTCTCAAGAGAAACTAATGAGCCTCAATAAAATTAGCAGTTGACTTCATCAGAAAAGTGAGATGAAATTGACTCTCAGCCCAAATTCTCTATCTATCTAGTGGAAGTCTTCAAAAATAGCAAATAGCAAAGTTGAGGCTGGGATTGTGGCTCAGTGGCAGAGCGCCCACCTAGCCAGTGCAGGGGCACTGGGACAATCAGGAGCACCACATAAAAATAAAAGTATTGTGTCCACCTACAACTAACACAAAAATATTAAAAAATAGCAAAGTTCAGACATTGCCAGATGAACAAGAAATAGAACAATTCACCATCAGCAGAATTGCCTAAGAGTTTTCACAAAGGACGCAGTTGACTTGGTCCACTGAGGATAGGACCCTGTGAGGACCACAGCATGGCCGTCCTCAGAGACTATGGCCCTTTTGCCTTAAATACAATTGCCTACAGCTGAGCACATGCAATTGTGCTGCTGGATCTGCAATGTGCAGAGACCACTGTGTGATTCTCACGAGAGGGAGGGAAGTGGGGAAGGAGCGGCCATCTCACTGTGTAGGAGCCACTGAGGGCCACCCTCATGGGGTGACACCAACAGGAAAAATACATACAGTAAAATCTGCAGCAAGGGACTTAAACAGGGTCTCCTCACCAAAGGAGGCAACGGGAGGGAGGATCGGCCACAAGCCTGGAGACACTAAAGAGCAACCCATCTCAGGGCACCTCATCAAGAGATAGATGGCAGATGCTCCAGAGAGCAATGGTCCTCCAGCCACAGGCCCTGGCCAGGGGCCGCACCGTAGATTCAGAGACAGTGAGGTGGGAAGGGAAGGGACGGGAAGGACCAGGAAAGCAGTAGCCCACAGAGAAGTAGCCCAGCGAGAAGGGGCAGTCTCCCAGCAGACAAGAGCCACTGCCTGTGCTTGAGAGCAGGTGTCCGGCAACAGCAAGTCCTGCTGAAGCGAAGCACACTGTACGATCTACTACAAAGACACATGGCTACAGATTGGTGGCACCTGACAACAGAGCCCCACAATACCTGAAGCAAAGCCTTGCGGCCAGATGTAACGGTGCACACTTATAATCCCAGGGACTCCAGAGGCTGAGGAAGGAGGATGCAACTTCAGGGCCAGCCTCAGCAATTTAGCAAAATTGTGTCCCAAAATAAAAAAGGGCTGGGGATGTGGCTCAGTGATAGGTGCCCCTGGGTTCAATTCCAAGAAAAAAAAAAATCGGTTGATTTAGTTATTTTGCTCATTGTTGCATTATTCCAATAGAAGGGTGTCACTAAGCCATCACTCATTTTGGAAATTGGTTTTGTTTCCTTTTAATTATTATTATGTTTTGATATCTTACAAGGCAACTTTGTTATTTTTTCTAAAATTTCTTAACTATTCCCACTTGGTGGCTAATTTTTCAGCTAATGTTAGAACCATTTGCCAGGAAAGATTCCAATGGGAATCAGAGGCTTTGTTTGCAAGCAGACCACGGTGATGCACCCAGGTCCCTCCCCTCCCACTCTCTGTTTGGGTAGATTCCAGATTCCCTTGAAGGTGCCCTGGGTACTCCAGAATCTCCTTGTGACTGTGAACTGAGATCAATGTGCCATGTTATTATTCCTTTTTTTTTTTTTTTTAAATAGAAAGAAGAACCTTCTGGGCCATTTAGTTTGTCCTTCAACATTCTAAAGTCAGATAAGCTCAAGGCCAGAAATATCCTTTGATCTGTTCTCAAATGTTTTCTGGAATAAAAGAACAATTCCTTACCTGTCACTGAGGCAGAGCCCAGAGGTTTGCTTTCTCTAAGGGAGGGGTCTGCTGGTTGGGGTAAACATAGGGCCTCCTCAGCCTCCCGCACCTGGATGCCTGGCCAGCCATCTCACACCCAGCTGGGCTCTGGCTCCATAGCACATGCTTCTCCACGAAGGTGCTTCTGTTTGCTAGCACAGGGCCGCTGCCCTGTGAGGCTGCCTCTGTGTGCTGAAGCCTGGGGGTGGGGGACAGGTGCTGTGATACCCGTCTCCCTCACCTGTGACCCTGCTATGCAGCTTCAGCTTCCCTGTGACCAAAATATCCACAAGAACATCTGAGAGAAGGTTCACTTGGGGCTCAGGTTTCAGGTCTCAGTCCACAGATGAATGGATGGATGGCAGGTGACACAGGGGGAAGGGACTGCTCACAAACGGTGGGGTCGGGGAACAGGGAGTCAGGGTAGGGTGTGCAGGGAGGGCGCATCTTCCAGGGAAGCCCCATGAGCCAACCCTCCAGCTCAGGTGCCACCTGCCCACTGCCACCCCCAGGGCATCCACCCCAGGATGAGCCCCTTCATTTCACCCTGGGGCATTCCTGCTGTAACAAGGCTTCGGGGGTCACCTCACATCCCAGCTGTAACAATGACACATATCTGTCCTCTCTCCCCCTGCATCCTGACACAAAGGTCCTAGAACCCTTTTATCTCTGGGGTGGCAGGGGTGCTAGCTATCTATGCCCTTTGTCCTAACATCTGGCCTTTGGTGGCTCCGCGTGGACAGCTCGTACTCTTTGGGGTGTTCTCAGGTGCCCTGGCTGGGCTCCTAGACTCAGGCTGGTCCTCGGAGCTCTCAGCCCATTCCCAACCCTCCAGCAGGGGCAAGGAACTGGAGATGCATGGTGCCTAGTGACAGAGCTGCTTAAGACTACCAACTGTGGGTTCTGTGGGGCTTCCAGATTGGTGGGAGAGGAGAGGGTGGTGCCCACCTCCACCTTCCCTGCAAATCACAGTCTGCACATGGTCATCCCGGATTCTGAGAGCCTGTTGAGCAACTTACCAGGCCCAGGAGGGGAGCTGAGGGGACCCCCACTTGCAGCTTCAGTGACCCACTAACCAACTGCTGTCAGGACCAAGCCCCTAACCCGGGGGCTGTGTGCCACCTGTAGTCAGTGTCAGAACTGAGCCAACCCCAGGTCACAGCCGCGCATCGGTCATTGGGGAAAGCCCCCACACGTCTAGTCTCAGAAGTGAAGCAGACAGTGGAAGAACGAGAGAGAGAGAGACAAGAGAGAGAGAGTTGGTTCTCCCATATTCACCGTCCCACGTCACAAGGGAGAGGTATTTGACTCTTGCCACTTAGAAATAAACACGGTACCGTTTTTCAACTAAGCAGGCAGGAAGGTTGCGTCACCTATGAATCTAACTTCAGCCCAGAGCAGAGGGCCTCACAGAATAGCTGCTGCCTGAGGAGGTGGGTCTGGCAGGGCTCAGAACCTGGAGGACCAGAAAGTCCTTACACTGGGCACATGAGAGTATTCGTGCTCCAAGTCTTCAGAAAAGATCATTTCATTTATTTTTAGATAAAAGAATTTTAAAATAACTTTGACAACTTGAAAAAAAAAATATTGAGTGTGTTGTTTTCCATTAGAGAAAGCCTGAGCCTTCAAGAACAGACTGTGTGACTCAGCGAGGGCCACAGAGTACGGGGGGACCCCAGTGGCAAGAGGAGGCCCAGGCAGCAGCCTTGCCAAGCAGGAGCCCAGGGTGCAGGGGAGGCAGATGGCCCAGGGCCCTTGGGAGGCACCCCTCTGGCAAGAGAACGCGTCTGCTCCGTGTGGCTGTGTACCGTGTCCCATGGTGACGGTGGGACTGGGGACTGGCAGAGTGCGGTCCAGAAGAGCTTCCTAAAGCTCCAGTGGTGCATAGTGATGTAATCAATGCAGTACTTAGAGATCTGCAAACTGACAGCTGGCAGGCTTCGCAGGCTGTGAGAAGGGCTGGAGCCAATCTCCGTAACCAGGGGCCACCGCACAAGAAGCCCAGGGCCCAAGGTGGGGCCAGTGTCCACGCTGCACAAGGCTCCCATGAGTGACACTCCGGACGTCTCGCAAAGACTGATTCAAAAACACTAGTTAAATCCTAGTCATGGCTCTTCCCTGCCCTCCTCCCCAAACAACCTCCTCTCAGAAATACAGCGGGGAGGGACAGAGTCCAGGCAAGAAGTGGGGAGCTGCTCCAAGGCACCAAGTGTGTGGCCGTCTCCAGCCCCACAGGACAGCCATGGGGGAGACGAGATCTGCAGGGTCGAGGACCTGGGGGCTGCCTCGCTTCTGTCCTCCCGCATCCTGAATTCAGATAAGCTCAACATCCAGAAACGTCCTTGGATTTGTTCTTTCTCTGATGTCTTGTGTCCTTGGGATCAAAGCCTCTTTCCCTGGCACCGAATAAAGCCCAGGGAGGGGTTTTGGCCATGTAGTCCTCTGCACTGAAGGACTTTGACCCACCGCTATCTTCGTACTCCTGGACGAGCTCCTGGAAGCGGCCGTAGTCGATCCACGTCCACCATTCTCCCTCGATCTTAAACTGGGAAGAAATCAGCCTCAAGTCAGAAGGGGAACCATCCACAGGGAAGGCACTAATGCACCTGGTTTTTCTCCCTGTCAGGTCAACACTTCCACATTCAACACCTGATTTCCTGCAGCATGGGCAGGTGCTTCCCCTGGGCACTGCAACCTGCAGGCCGAGGACCAGCTGTGGGATGGGAGATGTCCTGGCCTGGGTGGGGCTGTGGGAGCAGTCTTGCTGACGGGCACCAAATTGCCCAGTGCTGCCAGTGCTCAGGGCCCAGCTACCCCAGTCCTGCTGCCGCCTTCTGTCTGGCTGGATTTTTGTGGCTATTAGCTGCATGTGGCAGAAGCCTTTTTATTACCAAACTCCGCTTGAGTTATTAGCAAAGCCCTAATCAATGCCTTCCAACTCTGAAATGCTAAATGACTCCAACCAGCCTTTCCAGTCCAACGTGCATACAATACCTCATTAGCAGAAAGCCAATTCAATAAAGAGGAATAATCCAATTTGTACTCTTAAGGAAATTGCTTCTCAAAAGTCAATGTGGAATGAAGGGAAAGCTGAGGCAGCTCTCGGGGAAACCAGCTGAGCTGTGAGGGCTCTCCCCAGAGCGCCTGCCTGGCAGCACCGTGGAGAGTGTACCCGCTGTGCTGAAACCTACCGTCGACAGTTAACTGTCTCAGAAATGAAAACAGAGCCTGATCAACTCCATGAACCAAGTCAAGCAAGAGCTTCCTGGTCCAGCTGAAAAGGAATTATTGAAAATAAGCAGGCTCCTGGGTTTGGAATTTACTGTGGCATCTAATTTCTTACCCAATAGCTCTGAGAAATCTCCTTGAAAGATCATTCTTTGAAATAGTGCCCCCAGGGCTCTCTGCCTTCATCTCTCCCACACTGGAGGCCCTGACTGTTCTCCACCCACTACTGTGGAAGGAGCTGACCCTTTCCCCTGGTGCTCACACCCACGCCCCACCATCTTCCTGAGCAGCTCTGCCACCGGGGCCCACATCACTTCATGAGGCCACCATCTTCCATTGACTGAGCCAATTCCAGCTGTGGCCTCCCCCAGCTGCTGCTGTCTGCCCGAGTCTCGGCCCAGGGTGGGAGAGATGGCCACCCATTTGAACACAGGCACCCATGGACTCCAGAGAGCAGGCCCCACCTCCCAGGCTCCCATGCTGCCTGTCTGGTTTGCACCAGCTTGCACGTCAGGTCCCTGTCCTTTCTCTGGGAAGTGCCACACCCCCATCCCTTTAGCCCAGGACAGCTCCTGTGCCACAGGTCCCTGCTCCTGAGCTGCCCAACGGTAGCACCTCACAGCCCTTCTGCAGTGACCTCCCGCACTGCCCACCAGCCAATATTAGGCCGAGAGGAGGTCCTGACCCACCCTGTAGCCATCACTCAGGACACTGAGGCCAGCCCCATACTCCTGACCTCTAAGCGAAGCTAGAAGACCAAGGTGGAAAAACCCCACCTGCTCACTGACGTCCTAGGAGACAGGACGGGACTCTGCTGCTACGGGCTGCACAATACAGAAAGGACCGTCTCAGTGTGTCCATACAGAAGGCCTCCGCACTCCTGTGGAGACAGGGCTCCCTGACCAGCACAGGAGGAGATGCATCAGCGTACCTCAGCAGTGAGGCCCCCAAGGCTGCCCTACGCCACTCCCTCCTCTCCATGCCTGTGCACCTGGCCCAGGCCCTTTACAGGTGACCACAAAGCACCTGGTATGTGCCCTGGGCAGAAGAGGGGACAATGATCACCCAGAATGTGGCCCCACAGAGGGCCTCTGGGGCTCCCAGCTGTGTCTGTGAGAACAGGCTACACAGCCCTCCTTGCTGTTCCTGTCCCTCTGGGGTCCAGCTCCAGGTCTAGAGTCTGGCCCCTCAGCCTTCATGACCTCCTCCTCCTCAGACTCATCAGTGATCACTGGCCACAGACAGCCTGAGGACTAAAGGGTCTGTCTGGACTAGAGCAATAGACCTGACTCTCCTTTTTATACCAGCCTACGGTAAAAAACATATTTTATAGTTCAATCTAGGAGATACACGCGTGTGTGCACACACACACACATGCAAACACATACACAGACACAGAGACAGATACACAGGCACACACACACGCACAGACATACACACACAGACATACACATGCAGACACATACACACACAGACACATTGAGACACACACACGCAGGCAAAACCCATAAACTATTCTACATGTATCACAAAACTGCTGGCTGCACCTCAGGAGACTGGCGGACTCCGGGTGCTGAGGGAACCCGTTCTTACTGGTTCTGGGCCTCCAGCTGGTTCGGAATGCAGAAACCAGGTACACAGACCTGGCAACTGGAAGCTGACGCCTGTCATGTGCCACTGAGAACACAAACCAGAAGGCCTTGAGGCTCTGGCTGCCGCGGCCTGGCCAGGAGGACTGTCTACAGGGTGGGCCTTCCCAGCCTGCAGTGGCTGCCTTCTGGCTGTGTCCCGTGCAGCCTCTCCTCGGTTTGGGCTCGGAGAGGGTCTCAAGGACGAGGGTCCACCAGACCAGGCCCACTCCCAGGTCCCATCCAGCCCTTCTCCATGCAGCCACACGAGGGGTCAGGGATGGGGGTGGCACAAATAGTCCATAACTGGTTGATCTGAAATGAACCAAGTCATCAGACCCCAAAGACCTCTCATGACAATTTGAGGACAGAAGTACCTGATACGAAGAGCTCAGAGAAAGTCGTACTGTTCGTGTAAAAGGTCAAGTTAAGTATGACTGAGGCAGACACTGCTAATGACAGCGGCGTAAACAGGGACATTAAATCCAAATCATAAAACTGGAGACTAAGTGTCCTGAGACATGAGGTCATCCCACCTCAAGAACTCTTCTAATCCAATGCACGGGAGGTGGTCTATGCAGAGTTACAAACTCAGAAGGTCACGGATGGTCTCGAGGCACGGGGCAAGGCAGTGAGGCACTGCCCTGACTGATGGAGCCAGGCTGTGCAGGGCAGTGCGCCCTGGCCCTGCCTCCCTAGAGCCACCACGCTGCTGACCGAGGGCCCATGCTCACTGCTTCCTCTCCTTCCCACACTGCAGGGACAGCACAGGGTCTCTGACACCAGAGTGTTTAAAAGATTATGTTCACTGTGGTCCCACGGGAAACCCCACTAAGTGATGGAAAGGTCCACCATGGAGCCCGGTGGCAGCAGAGGAGACCCAGCAGGACCCAGGCTGGGCACCACAGGGAGGACGGGGCCCCCAGTCCTCCCACTGCACTGACCTGCGTGCAGCAGAGCACCGTCCAGCCCACAGAAGCGGGCCCTCCACAGGGTGGAGGAGGATGACGTCTGCAGACACCCAGGATCTCACCTGTCGCACACTCAGTAGTTCCCGGGAGGACATTTCCCATGAAGTAGGGACAAGTCAAACAGAAACACAGGACCCTGGAAACCAGAGAGAAGGGGAGAAGCCAAGGGGACCTGGACAGAGAGGGACCTGCCCAACACAGGGGGACCGGAAAGTGTCCCTGGAAAGACAGCTCCGAGAGAGGGACCTCATGGGAAACCCAAGATGCTGAGAGTCCAGTGCAGACTGCCCTGGCAGAGAGCCTGAGGGCTGAATCCGATAAAGAATGCAGAAACCTAGACATCATCCTCGTCACCACCTTCATCATCATCACAATCACATACCGATTAGCTCCAAGGAAGCTGAAGGTGTCATGGTCTGGATCTGAGGGTATTCCTCAAACCTCCCGTCACTGCAGGCTCATTCAGAAGTGAAATGACCAGATGTGACAGCTGTGACTAATCAGTCCGTCCTGGTGTGGGCGGGGGGGGGCTGTGGCTGGAGGGGCTAGTCGTGGGGCTGCCCTGCCTCTTTCCTGGCCCCTGACACCCACATGAGCTGAGCGCCCAGCCTCCCACCTCCCAGGATATGCAGTCTCACCTGGGCCCAGGGCAATGGAGTTGACCTACTATGGACTGAGCCTCTGAAACTGTGACCCCAAAATAGATATCCCTCCTCTGAGCTGCTCTCGCTAGGCATTTTGGTCCCAGCAATGAAAAACCGCTGGGCTATGCTGGAAACAGAGCAGCCACTGGGGCCGTGGCTCCATGGTGAACAGGGCTGCCTCTGTGCAAAGCCGCAGCTCAGGCCCCACAAATAAGCGGAAGCAGGAAGGAGCCTGCACCTCTGCCTTATTTCCACACCGTCCCCTCCACTACTTTAACCATGTGACCCACTCAGCAGTGCACAGGGCAAGTTAATAATTTAAAATAAGTGTCTGTCTAGAAACCAGCAGCTCAGGGTCTCTCAGCCCCCCACACCCCCACCCACTTCAAGACTGTGACAGACTGCAGGGACACGGGCTGTCAGCACTTGTAGCCTTCAGTGTCTTGCATCTTCAGGAGAGAGGCAGGCACAGCACCCACCCTGAGGCCATCCACGTACCTCAAGGGAACTGAACTGCCCCCTCCAGGGTCACAGGTCTGACAGACAGACGCCCCGAGCAGCAAGTGGTGACTGTCCTTGCAGTAGGAAGGCCCCCCTGGATCCCTCTGCAGAACCAGAACCGGGTGCTCCCCCAGAGCTCAGCTCCACCAGACCACGACTGGCGCAGCCCCCTGCCCAGCTCTTCCTCTGTGCAAACACAAGGTACCTGTTGGCCCTGAGGACGGACATGGGGTGGGATCTGGCTCTGCCTCCTCAGCATGACCTGCAGATCCAAAGTACCTCTCCTGCCTGTCATGCTTCTCAGACTGGGGTTGGAAGGGTCCCCTCCTTTCCTGTGTCTCGGGGCACCTGGAGGAGCATTGGTGGGGTTCTTCTATGAGGGTCTGATGGAACCTGGCTGAAAGCCCATCTGGTCCTGAGCTTTTCTTTGGTTGGCTTCTGACTGTCGTGAGCCACCCATGGGCTGTGTGTGCGAGCTATGCACCCTGGAGCCATATGAGGGGACAGGCCTGGTATTGCATGCTGACTGGGCTGTGCGACACAAGTGTGCTCTCCTCTCCCTCTCCCTGTGAT